CCTTCCCTGCACCTGCCCTGCCCTTCCCTGCCCTGCCCTGCCCTTCCCTGCACCTGCCCTGCCCTGCCCTTCCCTGCACCTGCCCTGCCCTGCCCTACCCTTCCCTATCCTTCCCTGCCCTGCCCTACCCTTCCCTTCCCTGCCCTTCCCTGCCCTGCACTGCCCTTCCCTGCCCTTCCCTGCCCTGCCCTACCCTGCTATGGGGACCTATAATCAAACAGTAACATCACAGAAGCCATCGTCAGTTAAGGCACCTGAAAAGTTAACCCCTGATCCCACCGATAACAATCCACTGAGGAAAATTGTGGAAGTAGACGTTAGTGAGCTAAGGTCACATTACTGTCCCAGTCGAGATTCAATGATAAGGAACTTCAATCTTTGCTAAAATGGCTTGCTGATCTACTTGAGGGGCTTCACCACCTTGCTTCAAATGAAAAGTTTAGGGCAAACTGTTTAGGTCCCTTCCAGTCTCCCTTTTCTGACAGCAAGAACCATATTCCCAGTGGCTTCAGCGTTTGCAGAATCGAATACAAAACCACCTGTACCGATCACTCTGCCATTTCATTCAAGATAGACCATCACTGTCATCGAGGACCACTGCACAAGCGTTTTCATACGATCCATACAGCGTGGAAGCAGGCCATTCAATCCACATCAACCTTCCAAAGAGCATCCCACCGAAATCCACCCCATCCCTGTAACCCTGCATTTCCCATGGCTAACCCACCTAACCGGCACATCTTTGGCAGGAAACCGGAGCACCCGGAGGAAACCCACACAGACACGGGGAGAATGTGCAAACTTCACACAGACAGTCATCTGAGGGTGGAATTGATCCCTGGTCCCTGGTGCTGTGAGGCAGTAGTGCTAACCACTGAGCCACTCTGTTTTTACCCTTGAACAATTTTTACCCTTTTACTAGTGAAAATCCTGATAGGATTGACAGTATTTGACAATATTGGGATAAACACAATAGTTGATACCTGTCCACAGGGAGCATGTAAGACACAATCAGCTATGGAAACAGATTAGGGGCATTTTGATAAGGCTCCAATTTAAGCCATAATCCATTGATTTATCGTACAGCTTTACTGATGGATGAGTATGCATCATCTGTTGTCAGTCAGTATGGATCAGTGCATTTATTTTTATACTCTGATTAAAGTCACATTCTTCTGCAATTATTCAGCTGAAACCAATGGCCTTTGGCAAACTGGATTGCTGTTCCAGAATTTTCTTTTAAAAAATGAGGTGTGATTCAATTTGTTTCTTGACATTCCCCACATGAGAAATTTGTTGGAGCAAATGTTGGCGTGTTAGGATTTTCATTTCACCGTTGTCACATGTCAGGCTATAAATCACAGTCCCACTCTGGACCTGAATCAACTATTTCTGTTCTTTTTCATGCACACACACACACACACAGGCACGCACACAGATACATGCAGACACACACACATAGATATACACACACAGATACAAACACACACACTCACAAACAGATACAAACACATACACGCCACATACGCACACATTCGCAGATGGATATACACATACTAATACAAACACACACACACACACACACATGCACACACTCACCGACAGATACACACACAGATACAAACACACACACATATACTCACACACAGAAATACACACAGATGCAAACACACACACGCGCACACACTCACAGACAGATATACACAGATACAAATACACACACACACACGCACACACATACACACACACACACTCACATGCAGAAATACACACACTGATACAAACACACA